ATGCCATTTTAGCAAATATGCCATTTTTTCCCCGACCAGCCCCTTCAAATGCAAAGTCTCTTTGTTAAAAGTCAGATGCAAAAACATAGGTCACAGTGAGTGTCGTTCGATATATTTTTCAGTACTCCTAAGATGTATACATATGAACTTCTATAACTGATGGACTTCTAGTAATTGAGTTATATGCACTTTTGTCACAATAACTAAATCATACTTTTAAAGTTTTGGTCTCTTACCAATTCACGAAGTGCACAAATGTCTGCCTTTGTTTCTTCATCATCAGATCTGTTCTTCAGGTATGTTTCAACATTCTCAGTGATATAAGGGAATAATACTTTCTGAAAAGTAAAGAAAATATCGTCTTTATAAAAATCAAGTTTGAAGTACAGGGAAAACATAGGTCAACAAAGAAAGATAACTCCTGCATACATAATATCATCATATTTGGGTTTTTTTACCAATTAGTCACGATTATTCGTCAGTGACAATAAACGTCTCGTCAACATTTGAAAAGAGGATTGCCACATTTTATATGTTATTAACAGTCACACAAAACGCTCTTGTCTCGAAGATGGTGCACTCAAATGTGCAATGCAGATGAACCCGGTAGTGCGATACTGAATAGTATACATGTATATTGCCTCACAAGAGGTTGTGATACATCGAAATACCAAGACAATTATCATTCACGTCAGCGTCTTTAGGACGATTGAAATACGATGTTAGACGTTCGACATGACTGATGTGAAAAACTGCCATACTTGCATGCCTTATCTCCAACCCAAGCAGGAAGATGAGCATGATGGTGGACCGGTATGCATGTGTGCGCGAGATGCCGGCATCGTCTTACCTTGACGAACGATAATGAAGTGGTTGTTCCTTCGATGTCAACGACAACTGCTGAGACACCATCAAGTAACGCTTCCGCTTCGTCTACCGACCGTTTTTGAACTTGTTGAGCCTCCATTATCTGGGAATGGCCAACAGTAGGCACTTCGAGCGAAAGTGTCAGAACAACGCTATTCAGACAAAGAACAAATGGACCAGGTGCGAGCCGATTGGTTACCAGATGGCGCCCTAGTTTCATAAGGTTGTCTCGTTCTCAATTACTGGCTATTCCATCAATTTAGCACTCAGCGCGTTTACTGTCACAATTTCCTAATTGGAAATGGATAGTCCAAGAAACTGGTACTTTTGTGCAACTATTTAAACCGTAACTTTTAAGAGTGTTTTAAAAAAAAGTTATGAGGGATGTAATCAAAACATGCGTTCTGTTCTTGACATAATAGTCTTGGACTTAACTTATTCCCGAGATTGACGAAGATGCTGAGCAGACGAACCAAACGCTTAGTAGAATTGCACCAATGAAATTTGTTGTTACAAACGAATTACGGTATACTGATCGTCCATTGAAATCGGGAAGGCCCTCAGACGGGTTCAGTTCCGGAAGAATTTTTATCCACGTTGACAAGATACGGGCTGTGAAGAAAAGTGCATCCACATAAGTATTAACGTTATTATACCAAGCAAAGGTTGTAGTTTTAATTAATTTATTATATATGTTGATTAATATCTTTCATAATAAGGATTTAGTTTTGGTTTCATTTATTTTGCTACCGGTTTTTCACCGGCTGCAGTGAGGAAGTGCTGAGTGCCGACGTGGACGGAAAATCATCTGGAGGAGTACGGTTTGTGTAGTCTGACGAACAAGTTCCAGAGCACTACTGACAGTTCCCTTCTCAAATTGACTGGTCACTGTTCTTTGTCTATTCTCCACCTTGTGTATTTAGCGTTTGTTGGATGTCTGTCAAGAAGAAAGAATAAATAGGGGAGGGGCGTGGTAATTACCTCATCTAACAAGTGTCAGTCAAGTGGAATTCGACAATAACTGCTCTTATCACCTGTCATAATGGATCCTCAAATTATTCTCATTGGTATTGCAGCGTTTTGTTTGTCAGCTCTGCTGATCTATCTTATATCTATGTTTGGTATAAAAGAAAAAACTTTTGAAGAAGCATTGGCTGAGCAAAAGCAAAGAATTGAAGATGAAAAACTGAAAGAGAAAAGCCTTAAGAAGGCAGAGAAGGAGAAAAAAAAGTTTAGGAAGACGAAAGAGAAACCAAAAGAAAAAGGACTTCAGGTTTCGGAACCTGAATTACCTAAGGAACAAAAGATGGTCAATTTGGAAATTGATCCTGAAATCATTGAACCACTGACAGCCTCCACAACTGAAGGGAAACGTTCTCAAAATATCAAGAAGAAACCAAAATCTATTCTTCACAACAAGAACGAGGAGCCACATGTGGCAAAAGAAACCCAACAAGTGATTCACCACATTCCAGTTCCAAAAGATGAGCTGGAAATTCTACATGATCTTGAAAAGGATCAAAAGGAGGTAAAGAAGGAAAAGTCTGTACCAAAATCTTCCAAGAAAGGGAAGGAAGAAGTGAAAGCAATCCCAAAGAGGCCTGTACTAATGGAAGAAGAGATTGTTGTCCCGAAGTTTGAAAAAGTATCGCACAGTGCCTCCTACTCCAGTCCGGAATCCAAAATGAAAAGTAAGACTTTCTAGAATTAACATTTCTGGATCCCGAATAATTATTGTGATGTACATGTACAATGGATTTATATGGCATTATCATCACAAATTGTGCCATATTCAGATATGTTTGAATCAC